TATGCATGTGACATCTGTAGAATTGTATATTTCCTACTCAGTTACTACAAATTATGAGACAACTTGGTGGGCATAAAAACAAGAAATTGATTCTTGAAGTTGGCTCCTTATTTGGGCAACTTGAGTAATGATAATGACAAAAATGTCCATATCACTGAATGATAAGATCTTCAGTTTTAAAAGTATTATGTTCTAAGATTATTATGAGTGAATGGACCATCCTAGTATTTTGCTGGAAATGATAAAATAATGCATACACTTTTAATAGATACTAGTAAGGATGTATAAAATAAGAGTCAGAATCTGGTATCGGAGAAGGTTACCACAAGCCAATTTTAGTTACAAAACAGAATCCAATTAATGAAAAGCCACAGAGGCAGAAGGAGCTGGTGAGGTCACAGGTGCATTGTTTAGAAGTCGAGTCACAGGAATGGAAGAGATTGGCATCCAACAATTGGTGAGGTGATGGTAGAACAAGGATTGGTACTCAAGGGTTTTCCCCTCAGTTCTAGAGCTACTTTTAAATGACAGTGAAAGAGTGAGTTGAATGTTGTGCCAGGTTACGGGGGCTGGGACGCTGGTGGGTAGTGGTGGGGAGGGGACAGATCATATAGGAAACCAAATTGCAGCAAGAGAGAAGTTCAGGTGCTGGTAGAGTGCAAACCCCAGAGCAGACAGGTTATAGGTGATAGAGCTCTGAAAGTACTTCAAGGGCGATTCCATCTTGCTCATGAACCTAGATACCCCTTCCCCCTTTCTTACTAAAATCATGTCCACGGTGGATTCCCCACCTCCTTATTTTCCTTGAATTTACTTTATTTACATATTCTTTAGAGTAATTTTGAGATGAACAGAATCACTTCGTGGTACAAGGAGCAGGTATATGTTTTAAGCAAGCATGACTTTATAGAGAGAAGATAGACGTGAATTAGAACGGACTGAATGTTAGTTGAGTTTCAAGGACAGTTTGAGAATGCCAGCTTGTCCCTTTAATTGCCTATTTGAATTACATGCTGATTCAGACATTAAAAAATAATTATAGTCCATTAAAAGGTACACTGATATATTGGGGTCAAAGGTGTTATTTGAGATGCTGTTATTTCTGCTTTGACAGTTGTGATAATTATCTGGGCACACCTGGACAGGCAAAGCTTCCAGGCTTTTCTTTCATTTCTTGCCATTCCTTAGGCAACCACTTGTTAGCTCTAGTTATTATGCTATTTATGTGGATGATCAAAATATAATAATTTTATCAATTATTCAAAAGGTCACTCATTCTCTCAAATGGTATTTAACACCTTGATTCTTAGTACTATAGTTAGCACTATTGAGGCCTAATAGTTGTAAGTCAGGCATTTTATGATACAAAGCAGAAATGGGCTGTTCCTTTTCAGGATTTATGATTTACGTATGTATAATTAAGAAATTTTGATGGAGTGTGATGAGTTCTCTTGTAGAGGATAGTCCAGCCTACAGTGGTAGAACAAGTACTCCTGACCCATTAAAGGAAGGTCAGAGGGTTGTTAAAAATACAAATTCCAAGTTTGGACTGAACTTGTGATTCAGTAGGTCTGGACCAAAGGACTTTTTTTTTTGTGGTGGTGGTGATGGGTATCATTACCTCCCCATATGATTCACTGCTTTCACCAAATTTGGGAAACAGTAATTAAAATGGTAGTGTCTCAATATGAATTAACTAGAAGTGGAATACATGATTTTCAATTGGTTCTGCTCATAGGTCAAAGGTTGATCTTTATATTTGTTGCTCTTCAATTGTAAATTCTTGTTTTTAGGTTATAAAAGTTAACTGCCCTAAATGTAGATGTGAAAACCTGGCTTATCAGTAGTATACAAGAAAAGGAACTGGAATTATGTAGCCTTAAACCCAGTGGAAGGTAAAGTGGGCTTCAGAAAAGGCAGAGATGGGCTGGAGTGTCATGGAAGCTGCTTCCATCTCAGGACCACTAATTCTAAACTGTGTCAGGAAGAAGGCGGAAAGGTCCCTGGCCCTCTGCATGTGTTAGGGGCACATCTGGATGCAAGGGGATTGTATCCAGGGCCACATTTAAAGAGGGTGCTGACATGCGGGGTGATAGAAAGATGTTGAAATGTTGAACTTTTTGATAAATATCCTTATGAGAAAGAACCAGACGTAAATCATCTTGCTCCTCCCAGCAGAAGAAAATTTAAACTCTTATTTAGTGGCTACCATTGCTCATTCAAGTGGATTCCAAGGATATAGTGGTGAACAAGGTGGATTCAGTTTTTGACCTGATAGTGTTAGAATTTATTGGAAGATCAGACAATTCTGCCAGCTGTTATAAGAAAATGTGTCAAGTGTGGTGATGAAATAGACAGGGCGCTATTTAACCTCTGTGCGATACCCACCTCCAGTGTTAGTGCTGCCAGAAAGGTGGTAAGTAGCTCTGTTCCACCCCAGGGGTATAAAAGTGGAGGCTTTTGGTGGTCTTGCTGCCTTTGTGTCAACCAGCTCCATAAATAACTTTGAGAATTCATGGTTGTATACCTCTTTGTAACAGATCCATACCCTGGCTTGTTTTTCTATCCTATCCATTTCCTGTTCTCTCTAAACTCAGTCCCAATGCTTCATTCAGTTTGTTTGTTTTATTTGTCTGTTTACCACATAAGAATAAAATCATAGTGTTTGTTTTTCTCCATATGACTTATTTCATTAAATAGGTCCATCCATGTCATTGCAAATGGCAGGATTCCACCTTTTATTTTCTAAACAGTACAGTGTGTACCTAAATCACATCTTCTCTAGTCACTTGTCTGTGGGCACTTTAAATACCCTGAGGTTAGGTAAATGGTTATAAATTCTGTACAGTTCCAGTTCTTTCAATCTGCATGATGAAATAATTGTGAGTTTCACAGATGTTTGTAAATAAGAATAGGACACATTCTTAGAACTGAAGTCACTAATAATTACTACATTTTTATCTGGGCTGTTGATAATTGAGGATAAGCATAAATGGTTGCCTATGTGCCTTGTAATCTAATTTATAGCTTTTAGTTTTTTCTTTCCTTTTGCCAGCCTCTCCCTGTAGGCAGGGACTGTTAGGATCAGCCATGTGGGAGTGGAGGCTGTATTTCTGTGGGAATGTTCTGCAGAAAGGGTGAGTGGACATTCACTGCTATTCACCTTCTAATTTTTATGTGTTCTAAAAAAGACTATGATTTGATGATCATCATGTCTTGCATTCTTAACTAATTAGAAACACTGACCTTTCTCTCACAGCACTTAAAAAAATCTATTACACGTGACAGCATGACATTCTCAGGACTCTGAGGCTTTCCCAGTCAATGTTTCTAGTTGAATTTGGATATTGTGGAGGTTTGGATTTGCTTCTTCTTGACCCAGTGTGACTTCCTGTCTCTTAAGAAAACAGTTTTGAAGACACTTAAAAGGAATTTCTTGCATGCTTGGCAGCTGTTGTGAAACCACACTTTACCAAACCAGTGTGAATGAAGTATATTAAAAAAAAATCAAAGAAAGAACCATATTACTTGATCACAATAACATTTTGTTCTATGGAAGTTGGATCTCATAGAAAAATCTGTCTCTTCCTGGTAGTGGGAACCAGAAGTTTCATTTTCATTTGGCTATTCATCTTCATTCAAGGGACATTTGATCACAAATTGGGGTTTACCTAGTGCTGGTGCGGATACTACCGGTTGATTTGGATAATTAGCTGTTTATAAAACAGAAAGTTGCAATTTGGTCATCTCCCTTCAGTGAATTCATAGCTTTGAATGACTCATTCACATGCTCACCTATTCTGGGGAAAGCCTAGCAACCCACCAACTTGGTCAGTGGAGAACTTGAATATCAGTGGGCCCTTGCTAGTCACAGCTCCCTCTCCAAACAGGAGAGTTGGGGCTGCTGGCTCTCACATCAGAGAGCTGATATCTTAATAGGGATTAAAAATGCATTTTGTGGGCTCTCCCTGGTGGCGCAGCAGGTTAAAGCACAGCACTTAGAAGCTAAAGCTACTTCAGCATGAGTTCAATCCCTGCTTGCCCCCAGGTGACCCACCTGGTGTGGCAAACCTTCCCTGACCGCCCACTGCTCCCCTCAGCAGTGTACTTTGATGATCTGCCTGTTCTGCTCTCCACTCTGTCTCTGGTGAACCCTCTCACTGCCCCTGTACCTTTGACCTGTACTCCAGTTCTGTTTCAGAAATAAATAAATCTTTAAAAAAAAGTGCATTTTGTGACTACAGAGGCACTTTGTTTAATGAATATTTGTTAAATTCTTATTATGTGTAAAATAATTTTCCAGAAGAGATAGTGTGGTGAGGTGTAAGGTAGAAGGGTGCCTGATTTTATTTACTAAACACTTATTTAAGAATTGACTTTGTGTCAGAAGCTCTGAGGAACCTTACAGATAGGAAGTCATTTTATTCTTCTAACAAATGATAGGAGTCTGTAGTATGTCTCTAAGAAAACAATGGCATTCTACTTAAATATTAAAAATATTAAAAATAGATAAAGTCTTGCCATTTTCAACAACATGGATGGAACTGGAGGGAATGATGCAGGGAGAAATAAGTCTGGAGGAGAAAGACAAATTCTATTTGGTGTCATGGAGAAGCATCAAGACATGTGGTGGAACATAGAGAAACAAAGCCAAGGCTCAGAGTGGAACCAGCCCAATAATGAACCCTAGAAATATGAGTATAGACTTGAGGCTATATCAGAAGGGGAGGAAGAAGAAGAGCAGAGTGGAGATGGAGCCCCATGGACTCTGGTGGAGACTAAGGGTTTCTTGGGGGTGACACACATCACAGGGGGGGGACCCTATGGCAATGAATCATCTACAGTGACCAGTGTTACCTAAAATAAGGAAAAAAATCATATGCAAAAACATGGAAAAAACATTTTCTTAGTGAAGAAGTGGCCCATGTCAATATTGATGCAGTGTCCATCTGCTTTATGCATTTGATGGTGATGACAACCTACTTTGCTTTTCCTTCCAGGTTAGTGGATGACAGATGTGTGGTCCATCCAGAGGCTGGAGACCTTGCCAACCCTCCCAAGAAGTTCAGAGGTAGGAATCTCTAGGTACTTTTATCATGTGAACAAAGTAGATTATTTTTGCATCTTAAAATAGGTAGTATTAAAATTTTATTAAATGTGAAAAAAATTGTCCAGTGTGAATAAAACTATGAAAACCTGTGAAACTTTAAAAAAATATGTTCTTCAAAAATTTCTCTTTTTTTTTCCTTTACATAATGAATTTACGCAGAAAGATTATATCAGTTTTTGCCTGCTGGACTGGAGTTCATCTGTTGGAAGGACATTTTGATAATTAACTGTGAAGGACCATTTCTCAAACCAAGAAATACAGCTGAATAATATATATTTATATAGATCTGTGTCAGTTATCCTGTAAATGTTAGTGTTTCATCATCAGCTCTTTAATTAATCTTTGTAAAATTTCTCGGAGTGTGACAGTGATGTGTTAGCAGTCGCTTTTAAAATGTCACTGCGGATGGTGTGTAATAACTAGCAATTATCTTAGATCGTCTTCCTATGTATAACTTTAGATATCTTGATGCTCTCAGCTGAGAAATTGGTCATAATAGGAGACTGACTATAACTCCACTGTGACAAAAGGATTGGTGGAATCTGCCATGAATCCCAGACAACTAAAACCAGTAATTAAAAGCTTGCTCAAATCATTTTCATAGTTGGTGTGTACTTAGGATAATAAAAACAGTTTTAAGACAACATTGATTTTGAACACACTGAGTAAGCATTTCAGAGGGATAAAAATATAGAGAAAGGGTTAAAGGGATTCCTCAGAGCCCCAGCCCCAAGCAGGATGGGCCACTGACAGCATTGGGATATCTGGAGAAGCCTCTTGTCAGTGCATTCTGATTTCAGGTTCTGGGGAGGCACCTCTAACACTGCTTTGCCAGTTTATTGTGCAAGTTTCATTTTCTGTAAGCCTAGAATGTTGCAGAAAGAGTGACAGGCACAGTAAATGTCCTTTTAATTAAACTAGTCACATGGAGTAAGAGATCCACATTTCTCTGGTGAACTGATTCATCAGAGACAAAGTGGGGAACAGAACAGATGAGTCTACTGAAATACACTGTTGAGGTGAGCAGCAGGTGAAACAGGAGAGGTCTGCTGCACCATGTGCATCAGCTCCCTGGCCAGGGATCAAACTCATGCTGCAGTGTCTGTCTGTAGCTTCATAGTGCTGAGACTTAACTCCTGCACCACCAAGGAGGCCTGAGATCCATATTTTTTACCAAGTGGAGAAAATAACACGGAACAGGCTGTTGGAGGCACCCCCCCAAAATGCTCTCCTGACTGAGTATATCAGGGATCCTTGTAATAAATACTCCCCATGGAGGTTGACCCCTGATGAGCTAGCGGAACGGAATAGGGAACAGTACTCCCCTTCCTGCAAGACACTTGCTATGAGACAGTAGGTGTATGTGAAAGGATTTCAAAAATAGAAGATGGGTTTTCAAAGGTATGAGCCGGCACACTCAGTTAGGTTGATGAGAAACATGAGGAAATTACCCAGAATGTAGCGCAGAGAAAAACAAGACCAGGAAATCCAAACCAGTCAGGAAAAGCTTGGAGGGCAGACTGAGCAGGTCCCGCAGTGTCTTCTGTTCCAGAAGGAGAGGCAAGCGAGGACGACAGCAATGGGGCCACAATGAAGGAGAGGTGGGACTTCCCTAAAGTGCAGGGAGACACTGCTTCTCAGGTGGATGAGGCCTTCTGGGTGCTGAGCAGCGATGTAAGGAAACCAATTCCACTCTCCCCCGTGAACCATAGCTCTTGAAGGATGAAAAGAGAAGTTTTCAAAGCAGATGTGGACAACAGATGTTTGTTAACAGGCAGAGGCATGGGGTTCAGTCTCGACTGTGCTGCTTGCTGCCCTGTCACCTCTAGTAGGTAACCTTCCCCTGCAGCTTCTGAGAACTCCAGTCTGGTTTCTTGGGATTCCCCGGGGCAACAAGAACAATGCTCATGGCCTGGGGCGCTGTGAGACTTGGAATTGTTCCCAAAAGTCCATGTAAAAGCATTTTAAGCCATTATACAAATGAAGTTTGTATAATGACAGGAGGGCTTAATGCATTTCCTTTAAAACATACTTTCCTCTGTTTTACTTGGTGAACTCTTCAGGGTCAGCGTTGTAATTGTATTTTTGTATTTTTCAAGCATAGAGCTTTTCCCACAAAACACGTCCACAACATAGCTATAGATGCTTTTGGGTGAGGGACCCTAACTTTCCTTGTGATCCTATGATAAAACTGGGTACCCAGGAGTGCCCTGTACCTTGCTGGCATCAGAATGGATAGCAGCCTCATTTTTATTACCCTGCTATCATGGGAAATCAGTCTGACTGCAGAATTTGTGGCTGCCTTTTTCCTTTTCCCCAGCAAAGTGAATTGTTTCAAAGTGCAAAGATTATTTCACTATATATGAGGGAATTGGGGGTAGCAAATAAGAACCCAGGGGACACTAGACATGGGTACTTGGTCTTGTGTTATTCAACAGGCTGAGTCACACCAGTATGCCAACCACCCCTGGGAGATGGGGCTCCCTGTTATCTAGTGCCTGGGGTCATTATCCTTGCTGTTTGATCTTACTTTCTGCCTCTGGTTTCAGACCACGCCATTCACCTCACCCCACTGCTGCTGGAGAAGGGTCTTTGCCCATTTGGGACACAGGCTTTTGTCGCAAAGCTCCAATTCTTATGTGATTCTTGAAACCCCATCCTGTGGGATCTACGAGGAGAATTCCTGGAGACAGGCTTGCGGCTGTCCTGCTGTCCTGGTTGTCTTACTCCTCAGCAGCCACAAACAGACCTTGTTGTCCCAGACGGCTACTCCTTCTGCAGTTCCTGTTTGGAATGGATTCACTTGGCTTCCTCGTATTGCCCATCTAGGTGGAACCAGTTAGCTTTCTGGCTAACTTTGCTTTGTGGAATCCCCTCAGAGTCCTTCAGTTTTGCTCAGATGGGCAGATGGTGTATCTTGTGGGCAATTAGGTTGTTTCCATAGCTTAGCCGTTGTCTTTGACACTGTAGTAATTGTTATAGAGCATACAATATTTCTGAGTTGATGGTTTTATGTTCTTCAGGTCAGTGTCTAGAAGTAGGATTGCTGTTTATTTTTTTTAAGGATTTATTTATTTATGCATACAGAACTGGGGTACAGGCCAGAGGTGCAGGGGCAGTGAATGGCTTCACCAGAGACAGAGTGGGGAGCAGAACAGGCAGATTGATGAAGTACACTGCTGAGGGGAGCAGCAGGTGAGTCAGGAGAGGTCTGCC